CACGCGCGAAACGCTTGGTGAGCTTGAGGCCGACCGCATGTAGGCGCCCCTTTCGCGCGTGAGTAGACCCGCTCCATGTTTGCTCTCCTAGTTGTCGTTGTCTGCCATGTTTGTCGTTGTTGCCATGCTATATGCCATACTTGTTAACCTTGTCGTCCCGAACGCGCGGCCGCAGGCCGCGCCCGCTAGCGCCGGAAAATTTGGAACACCGAATGAAGAATGAGCTAAACCAGAGGCCAGGAGGCCATTATATAGCTGGGGAAGAGAGGGGAAGAGGCTAGGAAGGAAGAGGCTAAGTCCTTGCTTCACTCTCTCTCTCGCTCTCTCGAACGAGCGCCGGAAAATTTGGAACACCGAATGAAGAATGACATTCGGAACGAGCGCCGGAAAATGAAGAACGAGCGCCGGAAAATTTGGAACACCGAATGAAGAATGAGCTAAACCAGAGGCCAGGAGGCCATTATATAGCTGGGGAAGAGAGGGGAAGAGGCTAGGAAGGAAGAGGCTAAGTCCTTGCTTCTCTCTCTCTCTCTCTCTCTCTCTCTCTCTCTCTCTCTCTCTCTCTCTCTCTCTCTCTCTCTCTCTCTCTCTCTCGAACGGTCCTAGTATTAATCAGGGGGGGTGTTACAAGGAAGATGCAAACACAAGCCAGACAAACAACCAGACCAGAATTCTACCTATCACACCTTCTCCTTCCCACTCCCGCCCCCCTCTGTCCGACCCTAATGGCTGAACGAGGGCTCAATCAGCAGGTGCAGCTGTCCCTCGCTAAGAGGTATGATGGGGCCCTGCATGCCGAGCTCGTCCGCTGCCAATGCCTCGTTGGTCTTGGAGCGGAGAGCATTGGCCTGCGCTCTCTGGAGGCAGACACTCCAGCACTGGCGGTACTCCATCAGCAGCTTGGCTGCCTCGTATGAGGTAGGTGCTGCGTTGTATCGCAGCTTGGCCGCTAGCTCCATGCACTGCCGCAGGTAAGCCATCACCCCCGGGGAAGGATAGCCGTATGTCTCGACTGCACGGGCGTGGAAGCCCACCCACGCGTTCCTTCGCGCGTATTTCTCCTCCTTCCTAGCTGCTGCCGCCCTCGCCGCCCACCCTGGAGCCCGACTGCATTCTTCATCCTGGTAGGACACGGGATCAGTCACAGTCACGTCACACAACCACACCTCTCCCGTCAGGGGATGGCGGATGGTGACATCCGCCTTTAGGTTTTCAACGAGAGAGTAGATGTACGTCTCCTTGTGCACTGTGAAGCCCGCCTCCGCCCCGATGTTTGCAATCTCATCTCTAAGGGCATGGTGCGTAGCTGTCCTCCCCTTCCCCTTCTCACAGCGCAGGAGGTGGTTGGGGAGGCGGTCATCAGGGAACGTGGTGCGGTACCGGCAGTTGCAGCGCCTAGGCATGGGGAGGGGGAGGCCTAGGCGGAAGGCGGCTGCTGTTGAGAGCTGCGAGGGGCCCATCCGGAGCGAGGGGATGAGGGGAATCGCCAGCAGCCAGTCCCCTGCTCCCGGGCCCTGCACTGATTGCATCTGCTGCGCGTGGCCAGAGAGGGGGTTGGGGCGCATCCGCCTCGCCCTGTTCATAACCCGCGGGAAGCGGCGGGTGTGAACCGCCAGCGCCAGGGACTGCTGTAGCTTCAGGCCCTTGGGTTCCGCTCTCCCTGCCTGGAGGGCCTCGAGTGCCTCGGAGGGGAGTGCCGCTTCAGCAGCTGCGAGGCGTGCTGGCAGGGCGTGGGAGGAGCCATGGGCAGAGTCCAGGAGGGGTAGGAGCTCGGACACCGCTGGGTGCAGCGAATCGGTCAGGGAGTTCAGGAGGTGGGCCGTGCTAATCACCGACGCGAGGTACGCGTAGCTCCCTTCAACAGCCGGGTCGGTGATGCCTAGCCCTCCCAGTGTTATATGCAGCGCCGCCTGCCGCCAAATCCGCCGTCTCTCTACGTTGCTCCTCGGGGCCATGATGTGGGCTGAGTCCAAAAAGGTAAGTAATAACTGCTCCCCCCATGCCGACCATTCAGCGTCAGGGAGCACCTCCAGTGGGGTGGTCCTCGCCAGAAAAGAGGCGCGGCGGCTGACGCAGCGGGTAAGGAGGAGGAGGCTGAGTTGGGGGTCCATTAGGGCTAGGAGGGGCAGTGGTTCCGCTGCTGCTGCTAGCCTCTCTCTCACAGCGCGTGCGCAGCCCTGGGGAGTACCGATGGGGCTGCCAAGGACCTGCAGCCCTTCATCCGAGATAGTAATGCCTGGAGGTGCGGAGGAGGGGTCAACCGCTGAGGCTGACCAGACCGCGCACTCGGATGGGTTGTGAACCAGACCAAGGGTTGCCAACGAGGACGTGAGGTGATTGAAGGCCGCAGTGCAGGCGGAGGCTTCGCCGAGAAGGGTGATGTCGTCGGCATAGGCGAGCAGGACCACCTGCGGGTGCGCCGCTGCTGTGTCCGTGAGGCAAGGGTGGATACTTGCCGCGAAAAGGAGCGGTCCGAGCGGATCCCCTTGGCGCACTCCTCTGGCGCTCTGCAGCGGAGCTGCGCCAAAGACGTGGTCGAGGAATAGCGATGAAGGGGTGCCGTACGAGAGGCGGACCAGAGGGATGAGGTTCTCCAGAGCCTCGTTCCTTGGACCCTCGAACACTGCTCTCCGTTCCACCACGTTGAATGCTGCATCGTCGTCGCAGTCCATTCCGCCCACTGGTCGCATCGTTCCTCTTGCAGCTCTTCTGCCGCACAATCCTGTTGGTTCACCGGCACGCTCAGATCGGCCGCTGCCTGCGGGAGGTGGCTTTGTTGGTGCTGCTGGCGGGGATCCGTGGGCTCCGTTTGCTCCGCCACGTCCCCTCCCTGCTCCTCGCGATCTTGCCGTGTCTGCCCGCCGAGCTCGGTCGTCCGCCCTTCCTCCGCCGATGAAGGAAGTGCCCACGGCGACCCTAGCACGCCTGTGGTCGCTGGCGGAGTGCCTGCAGAGCCTTGGTTTGATCCTTCTGAAGTCCCATGACTCCATGCTCCTTGTGGAGTCCCTTGACTCCATGTCGGTGAACCCGCCGAGCACATTCTCTCAGAGGCCGCGAGCAAAGTGTCACGCGGCGGCGTCAACACTATTCTCATTTGTCGCATCACTGCCGGTTGCGCCCTCCGCGGTTGTAGCCTCGGCCAACCAGCTGGCTGTGAAGGTCCTGGATCTGAGGACACTTGTTGCAACGCGTGGCACTCCAGTTGACGTTGTTGGCGCCATCGTGTCAGTGGTCCACCAGATGTGGCTGACCTCGCGTGAAACGCTTGGTGAGCTTGGGGCCGACCGCATGTAGGAGCCCCCTTTGCGCGTGTGTGGACCCGCTCCATTGCTTGTTGCCTAGTAGTCCTTGCTTGATGTACTTGTTGACCGTCCTTCTTATTGTCCCCTTGTCGTTCCCTAATGCGCGGCCGTAGGCCGCGCACGGGAGCGCCGGCACGTAGCGCCGGAGCGAAGCGCCGAAATTTTCAGCACTAACTGAAAGAATGAGAGATGAAGAGGCCACCGTGGCCTTAAGTACTCATGGCAGAGGGCAGAAAGCAGAGGGCAGAGGGTAGAAGGGGAGAGGCTAATCCTCTCTCTCTCTCTCTCTCTCTCTCTCTCTCTCTCTCTCTCTCTCTCTCTCTCTCTCTCTCTCTCTCTCTCTCTCTCTCGAACGGTCCGTCGTATTAATATCATCAAGGTACACACAGGGTAAGGTAGCAAGCCATGCACAACAAAGCCACAGGTGCAGTCTCCTATCCAAACACCACTACAGCCGCCCCCTTTCCCTTCCGGCCCTAGTGGCCGGAGGGGTCCTCTATCAGTTGGTACAACTGGCCCTCGCTCAGTGGAGTGAACGGTCCCTGCAGGCCTAGCGCGTCCGCGGTAAGAGCCTCGTGGGTCTTATCCCTGAGTGCGTTGGCTTGGGCTCTCTGCAAGGTCACGCTCCATCGCTGGCGGTACTCGGTAAGTAGTTTCGCCACCTCCCTCGACTTTGGGGAGGCGTTAAACCGCCGCTTTGCCGCTAGCTCCGCGCAGCTGCGAAGGAAATCCAGGACTCCAGGTGAGGGGTAGCCATAGGTCTCTACGGCCATGGCGTAGAAGCCCACCCACGGGCTCCGCCCGGCGTATTTTGTCTCCTTCTTGTCCGCTTGCATCCTAGCCGCCCATCCGGGGGCCTTACGCGCGTACTCGTCCTGGTGGGAGACGGGGTCTGTGACTGTGATGTCACAAATCCACACTGCACCGGTGTCGGGATGGCGGATAGAGATATCCGCTTTGAGGTTTTCGACCGGTGAATATGCCGTTGTCTCCTTGTGCACCGTGAATCCCGCTTCAGCCGCTATCTTCGCGCACTCGTCGCGCAAGGCATTGTGTGTGCCGATTCTCCCCCCCCCTTTCTCACACCGCATCAAGTGATTCGGCAAGCGATCGTCCGGGAAGGTGGTGCGGTATCGGCAATTGCAGCGTCTCGGCACAGGTAAGGGCAGTCCCAGGCGGAAGGATGCCGCGGTGGAGAACTGGGAGGGGCCGAGGCGGAGGGAAGAGATCAGGGGGATGGCGAGCAGCCAATCCCCCGCCCCCGGGCCTAAGAGGGACTGTAGTCTCTGTGTGTGGCCAAACAGTGGGTTCAGATCCATGTTCCGCGAGCTATCCAGCAGTCGGATGTAGCGCGCGGTGTGCACCGCGAGGGAGAGAGCTTGCTGCAGCTTTGGCCCGTTAGGCTTTTGCCTCCCAATTTGCAGGGCCTCTATTCCGTCTTTTGGCAGCTCGGCTTCCAGGGTTGCGAGGCGTCGTGGGAGCAGGGAGGTGGAATCGCCGTCAGCGTCCATCAGCGGCAGCAGTCCTGCTAGGGCCGGGTTTGCCGCGTCGCCGAAGGAGCGTAGCAGGTGGGAGGCTGCTACAACTGATGCCAGGTAAGCGAATCTCCCCTCCACCGCAGGGTTAGTAATGCCGAGGCCTCCTAGGGACGCAGGCAGCGCGGCTTGGTGCCAGGTTCTGTCCCTCTCTGCCCGGTCCCTAGGGACATTCGTGTGTGCCGCGGCCAGGTAGGTGTGGAGCAGATGTTCCCCCCAGGCCGACCATTCCTCCTGCGGAAGGGCTTCGGGGGGCGTGGCTCGGACCAGGAACGAGGCGCGGCGGCTCACGCAGCGGGTGAGTAGTAGCAGGCAGAGTTGGGGGTCCATCTGTGTGAGGAGCGCGAGAGGTTCGGCCGCTGCTGCGAGGCGCTCGCGAACTCTGGACGCGCAACCTGTGGGGGGGCCGATGGGGCTGCCTAGGACGCGGACTCCGTCTTGTGATATCGTGATGCCGGTAGGTAAGGTGGAGGGGTCGAGCGCAGCTGCGGACCACGCCTCACACTTCGAGGGGTTGTGGGCCAGCCCATGGAGTCGAAGGGCTTCCGTGAGGTGTGCAAAGGCTGCCGTGCAGTTGGCCGCCTCCCCCAGCAGGGTGATGTCATCTGCATACGCCAGAAACACCACCTCCGGATGTGCCGCCGCCGATTGGACGAGGCAGGGGTGGATGCTGGCTGCAAACAGCATGGGTCCCAGCGGGTCCCCCTGACGAACACCCCGCGCGCTCCTAAGGGGTTCTGCTCCGAAGTCATGGTCGAGGTAGAGCGCCGATGGGTTGCCGTAAGAGAAGCGAACGAGGGGCACTAAGGCCTCGAGGTCGGTGCCTTTCAAGCCCTCGAACACTGCCGCGCGCTCGACTGCATTGAAGGCGTTGGCCAGGTCTATCTGCAGCGCCGTCGCTCCTGGGAATTCCTCCAGGTAGGTGCGTGCTGTGTGAATTGCCGCCTCTATTCCTCCCGCGATTGCTACTCCGAACTGTAGCGGGGTGAAGTGCTCACGCGCCGCTGGTGCGGCTAGGAAAAGGGCCGCCTTGGCAACGAGGCGTAGTAGGCATTCGCCTACTGCTATCGGCCGCGTTCCACCGTTTGGTTTCGAGAAGGCGAGCAGTCGTGACGCTGTTAGGAGTTCCGCCACGTCCGCCGTCAGCTTTCCAGAGAGTGCCGTGTTGGTAAGTGCATGCAACTGCAGGAAAACGTCCCCGTTCCCAAGGGCCGCATCTCTGAGGTGCTCAAAGGTGGTGCCTGATGGCCCAGCCCCCACTCCGTTGGGGCATTTTGCCAGCAGTCGCCTGAAGTCCCGGGCAGCGATGGCAGGGACGTTCTCTGGGGCGAAGTCGAGCACCCAGGAAGGTATGGCCGTGGCGGCGTCTGGGTGTCTGGCTTTGAGCGCGTTGAGTACTTCAGCGCTCGGCGTGCAGACTGGCGTGGCAGTCAGAGTCTGTAGTGATTTCGCCAGATTCCCCCGTTTCGCCAAGCCTTCGGCCCGCGAGAGCTTGCCAGTGTCGTCAGGTACGTGTCGTGGTTGAGGGTTGCTGGTAACCGCGTCAGCTGCCTCGTCGTACAGGTTGCGCCACTGTCCTTGGCGAAATCGTGTCAGCCTTGCACCCATGGCTTTCCAGTCAGGTGTGCGTGCTGACGAGGTGCGCAGCAGGATGCGCGGGAGGAACATCAGCAGCTTCCAGCCTGCGATGGAGTCCGGGTTTTTCGCCAGGTGCAGCAGTGGCGTCAGCAGGCATATCGCGAAGGATTCGCGAAGTGGGCGGGGTGGGTGGCGGGCAAGGGGTGGCTGTCTGCTGTCGCGTAGCGGGCAGATGTCCCAGTTGACGACGTCTGCGAAAAGGTCCAGACGGCCTGCTAGGTCGTCAGCGCTGATGATTGGGTTGGGGGTGGCGGGCGTTGGGGCCGTGGCATTGGCTGGAGCGGTGGTAACCGCATTGTTGGGGGCGGCTCGGTTCTGCCTCGCGGTCCGATTTCTGGGTATTGGAATTGCAGATGCGGCTCGTCCTGGGGTTGGATTTTGGCCCGCTCCTTCGGCTGTGGCTCGGCTGGCAGGTTCGCCTCGGACATTGGGTCTGGCGAGCTCCTCTCCCCGAAGCAGAAGTTCCAACTCATCCTCGTCCTCCTCGGCTTCTGCACCCAACATCCCCTCTCTTTCAGGGTTAAAAGCGGGGTCACCCCCGTCACTTCCCTCATTCTCCACTTCCTCCTCTGCCTCCTCGCCAGGCGGATCCTCGCCGCCCTCTGCGCCGTTTCGTATCTGCCTTTCCGCGTTTCTCGCGTAGCCGCTTGCGCCGGTGCGGCGCCTGTTTGAAACCCGTGATCCACCTCCTCTTCGTCCTCGCTCGTTTCCCCTTCGTCCGCGGCGGCTGCCGCGTCCCACGCGTATTCCGCGCGTTGCTCTTCCCACAGCAGCTCCCTCGCGCTCAGTTTGCGGCGCCGCGGCCACTTCGTTGTCGCTTTGTCGGCGCGCTGGCGTCGGCTGCGGTACGATCGGGGGTGATGGACCCATCCGCGAGACGGGATCCGGAGCTGGAGGGATCCGCGGAGAGCGCGCTGCCGGAGCCTGCGCCTGCCGGGCCTCGTCCGCGCCTCCTCGCGCACCCCTCTGCAAGCGAGCCCGTCCGCCGCTTCGAGCGGGTGCAAACTCTTCCCCATCAGCCTGCCGCGCGCCCAACCTCGCCGGAGTATTCGTGGGCGCCTGCACGTGTTGCGTCGAACCGCCCGGACGGTCAGCCGCGGCAGGAGCGCGGGCGCTCGCCTCCACGTCAGCCTCCTCGGCAGCCCTCTCCTCGCCGCCCTTCCCCTGAGCATCGCGAACACTATCAGCGCGGGGGGGGGGATCAGCGCTCCCCCGCGCGTCCTCGCTCCCCTCGTCGCCCATCCCCTCGTGGTCGGGCAGGCCCGCGCTCACCCCGAGCGCGATCCCCCGCGCAACGCTCTCCGCGGCGATCTCCGGCGACGCGGGGAAGGGGGTCGCCTGGGCGTCGCTGGGATTCGGGTCGCCGCGAGCAGTCCTCCCCGCGTCCACATTCGGCTGGTTCCGGGGGGCGGCGTGGCCGGCGGAATCGGGGAGGGAATGGCCACCAGGGGGATCCTGCCCTCGATCGCGCCGCGGACACGTTCGTGGAGGTGGTGAGGCAGGCCCGGGCGAGTGGGGCGCCGACTCACGTCCACATTGAGGTGACCAACGGTCCCCCCTTCGCCGCGGACCCCAGCCAGGTTGCTCCGCTGCGCGCGCCGACGCTGCGCGAATATCAGCCCGCGCGTGAGGGGAGGGCTCAGTTCCGCACCCCCCGTCAGGTTCCCGGCTTCTCTGCGCCGCGCTTAACTGTTGGCCGGACTCCTGGCTGGCCGACGGCGTTTCCGCGCGAAGCGCTGACTGCACCTCCCCCCACTCGCGCGGGGAAAGACCCCATGCTGACCATGTGCCGGATTCTGAACCTGGCGGAGGCGTGCGAGGTGGTGGCGAACCTGCAGCTGGCGGTGTGTGGGGCCACGCGGAGCTTTCCGAGCAGTTTCGGTCCAGGATCCCGAGGATCCTGCGTGACTTTGGCAGAATCGCTCGAGTCGCCGTTGGCACCCGTGTCGGAAGCGCCCGCCGGGGTAGCTCCCTTAGCCCATACTTTCCCCCGCCACGTGGGGGATCTTGTAGGGGCTGCTCAAGCCGGGACCCCCTTGGACACGCTCCAGTCGTCGGCGCATCTCCTTCTTGCGGTATCGGCGTGCATGCGCTCGATGCTTGAGGTGGAGGGGGCGGAGCCGTACACGATGTAGGCCTCCGCCGCGTATAGAATTGCATGCCGTTCTCTCTTGTTTTGGCTCTGCTCCCTTGATTCCTTTGCGTGCGTGTACTTCCTGGTATAGCAGTCCACCGCCTTGTTCCTTGCCACCAGGAGCGCGCGGCCGAAGGCCGCGCTGGCGAGCGGCGGCGGCCGAAGGCCGCCGGCGCGAGCCGCCGAAAATGAACTCCACACGAAATAATGAGGAGAAGGAGAGAGGAACAGCCCTTAAATAGCTCTGGAGGGCGGAGGGCAGATGGATGAGGCAGAGGGCAGAGGGCTAAGGGGTTTCCTCTCTCTCTCTCTCTCTCTCTCTCTCTCTCTCTCTCTCTCTCTCTCTCTCTCTCTCTCTCTCTCTCTCTCTCTCTCTCTCTCTCTCAATCTCTCTCGCTCTCTTGAGCGAGCCGCCGATATTTTGCAGTGAGAATGAACTCAACCCCAAACAAATCAGAGGGCAGAGGGTAGAAGGGGAGAGGCTAATCCTCTCTCTCTCTCTCTCTCTCTCTCTCTCTCTCTCTCTCTCTCTCTCTCTCTCTCTCTCTCTCTCTCTCTCTCTCTCTCTGCATGCTGCTTGCTCTGCCTGCCATACAACGTACCTGGGTGGCGCACCCTGTCCTTTGCAATGAGTGGTGACCCACAGAGCACACCTGCTGCACCCGCCCTGCTGGAGAGGACTTTGAGATGCCTCAAAGGCCATACCTTGACACACGCGGTACTTTACAATGAGTGACTGAGGGTCACTTATAAAGCACACCTGCTGCACCCTCCCTGCTGGAGAGGACTTTGAGATGCCTCAAAGACCATACCTTGACACACGCGGTCCTTTACCGTGAGTGACTGAGGGTCACCTATAAAGCACACCTGCTGCACCCTCCCTGCTGGAGAGGACTTTGAGATGCCTCAAAGACCATACCTTGACACACGCGGTCCTTTACCGTGAGTGACTGAGGGTCACCTATAAAGCACACCTGCTGCATCCTGCCCTGCTAGAGGGCATCTGAGGCGCCTCAAAAGCCATGCCTTATTGCAACCGTTCCTTACAGTGGGATAAACAGACAGAGCGCAGGTGATATCTGCTGTACCTTGCGCTGCTGGCGAGACAAAGAAGGTGGCGAATCCAAGAGGAGGCACCTCCGCGCTGAACACAAGCGACAACACTGCCTGCTGCTGCTGCTGCTGCTGCTCTGTTTGCTCCCCTTCCTTCTGCTCCCCCTCATTCTGTCCCCCCTCCTGCTCTTTCAACTGCCTTTTCCGATGCTTCTTCTTCTGCTGGCGCAGCTGCGGCCCTTGCCCATCCCCAAAATCCACCCACTCCCCCTCCTCCCCTTCCTCCCCCTCCTCCCCCTCCTTTCCTCCCTCCTCCTCTTCCTCCTCCCCCTCCACCTCCCCTACTATGCCACCCACGCCAGTGTGAGCAGCAATGTAGGTGGAGCGGGTGGAGGGGGTGACGAGGGTCTCCCTGAGTATTTGAGACGGGATGGGGGCGCCAGACGCGTCTGTGACTAGCAGGTAAGGAGATGACACCTGTCAGGGGGTACAAAAGGTGGGACCGTGGGAATGGTGGACAGGGGAGGGAACGCATCAGCCCCGGTGTGGGTGGAGTGGAGCGGGTGGAGGGGGAGAGGAGGGTTTCCCTGAGTATTTGAGAGGGGATGGGGGCGCCAGGGGCGTCAGTGATTAGGAGTTTGGGGGATGACACCTGTCGTGGAAGGGGGAGGGGGCGAGGGAGAGAGGTAGGGAGGGGCGGAGACAGAAGAAGGGTGAAGATACAGAGAGGGAAAGCGGGCAGGAGGGTCGGTCTGAGTATTTGAGAGGGGATGAGGGCGCCAGAGGCGTCAGTGACAAGGAGGTAGGGGGATGACACCTGTCAAGGAGAGCAGTGGGAAGGGGGGGGGAAGAGGAGAGAGCGGATGGGAGGGAACGGGTAAGACATGATGCGGGTGGAGTGGAGCGGGTGTAGAGGGGGAGGAGCGTGACTCTTGAGTATTTTGAGAGGGGATGAGGGCATCCGAGGCGTCAGCGAGGAGTAAGTTGGGGGAACATACCTGTCAAGGAGCGAGAACAGAGGGAGGGGGGTGTTGTGTGGGGAGGGGAGGGAGAGAATGTGAAAGCTCTGGGTGGTGAGGGAGAGAAGGGCAACAAATCGTTCACTTGGTAATGCTAAGGATTTTTTGTGGTGTTGCCGATGCCGATGCTGATGCTGATGCCGATGAGAGGCAAGATGGATGAAGCAACTGAAATCATTTTGGGCATTGCACTCATACCGGGAATCGAATCACTTCGGAGCGGGACCACGCGAGAGGGTTGAAAGCCACCACTACCTGTGGGAAGGGGGGTGAATAACACGAGGAATAAGTGAGAAACATGGAGGGCACATAGGGCCTGGATGAGGTGCTTTTGAGAGTTCTCAAGGGTGACTTAGGGTATTGGTGGGGAACGATGGAGACATGCAGCCAGAATGAAAGAGAGAGATGGGGACGGCGGTGGGTGAGAAGGTAGATGGAGGTGAGAGAGGAGAATGGAGGTGAGAGAGGAGAATGGAGGTGAGAGGAGAATGGAGGTGAGAGGAGAATGGAGGTGAGAGGAGAATGGAGGTGAGAGAGAGGAATGGAGGTGAGAGAGAGGAATGGAGGTGAGAGAGAGGAATGGAGGTGAGAGAGAGGAATGGAGGTGGGAGAGGAGAATGGAGGTGAGAGGTGAGTGAGAGATGGGGAAACGGGCAGTGGAACGGAGGGAGGCGAAGATTCTCAGGTCAGAGAGTTTTGAGTCGACTCTATATGATTGCATGGGTGAATGCTTCTTGGAGCTGTATGGGATGGTGCGTGTGTGGCATGGCATGTGAAACAGCATGCATGCAGGGTACCAACCAGGGTCTGATCTGGCTGCAGGGGTGATTCGGATGGAGGGCAGTAGGAGATGTTGAGAAGAGGGCACTGTGAGGGGGGGAAAAGGAAAGGAGGGGGGGAAAAGGAAAGGAGGGGGGGCGTAAAATGCAGGGATGAGAGGGGGAGGAGAGATGAGTGGACAGGGGGCGCCCTTGAAGCGACACAGGTGGGCAGTAGCAGATCGACATAGCTCATCATCATCATCATCATCATCATCATCATCATCATCATCATCATCATCATCATCATCATCATCATCATCATCATCATCATCATCATCATCATCATCATCATCATCATCATCATCATCATCATCATCATCATCATCATCATCATCATCATCATCATCATCATCATCAGCACACACCATTTTCAGGTCCAGCGAAGGCAGCTGCTGTCCGCCCCCCTCTCCTTTGGCACCCTCAACCTGCTGCACCCGCCTCCTTCTCCTCCCCCTGCTGCCCTGCTCCCCCACCACCTCCTGCCCTCTCCTCTCATCAGTCCGTGAGCCGTCACCAGCAGAGTTTGCATTGGCTCCACCAGACCCAGTCACCTTCCCAGCAGCACTGCTCTGGACCGCTCCAAGGTCAGCAGCACCGTTTTGAACCGCTTGAGGATCAGCTGGCTGCAGTGCCTGTGGGTCAAACACCTCGTTGGGGTCGTTTGTGGTCTCCTCCTCCTTCTCCTTGTCCTCCTCCTCCTCCTCCTCCTCCTCCTCCTCCTCCTCCTCCTCCTCCTCCTCCTCCTCCTCCTCCTCCTCCTCCTCCTCCTCCTCCTCCTCCTTGTCCTCCTTCTTGTCCTCCTCCTCCTCCCCTTCATCTGCCTCCTCATCCCCTTCATCTGCTTCATTCGCTGCACCTGCCCTATCCGTCTCATATGCACCTGTCCTGCACGCAGGAGAGAGAGCATGCCTCCACCCAAGCACGCTTCCGTTCATCCTCGTTCCCATGCGTGTGTCAAGCACGAGGTGTTCCAGTACCATCATGCGCCCGGTCGCCATGCCCCATGCCTGCAGTGCTTCCTTTCCTACTGCTGCCTCTGCTGCTGTGGTGGCCTGAGGGAAGGGAGAGCAAGGCCACGCACAACGTGATGCTGTTGGGGTGAGCACGACAGCAGCACCTGCAGCCCACTTCTTGTCCTTGTAGAGAGGAAGCAACGGCAAGTGTGCTTCGGAGTCGCCTCGAGAGGCAATCATGCTTGTCACTGGCGTTGACTGAGCTGAGCCAGGCGAGTGAACTGACGCCCGACGTCAATAGATTCCTGCACTGACGCCTACCAACCAGCCAGCCAGCCAGTCCCCTGCATGCAGGCTAGGCGAGCTGCACAGACTAATGGGTTGATGAACCACGGGTGAGTGAGGAGGACGGTGTGAGTGATGTGACTGTTGAGTTGACTCAATGGTTGGGAGGTTCACCCAGACGTGCCGCACCCTCTCACAAGGCTGTAAGAACAGGCCAGGGGGAATGATGGGAGGGTGCGGCAGGTCTGGGTGATGTGACTGTAAGGAGGGGATTATTTACGAGGTGAATTCTCCTCACATCATGGCATCACTCACATCACATCACATCCTATCACGTCACAACACATCCCATCCCACCCCACCCCAATCCATCCCATCCCATCCATCCCAACCCAACCCAACCCATCCCATCCCATCCCATCCCAACCCATCCCATCCCATCCCATCCCATGCCATCCCATTCCATCCCATCCCATCCCATCCCATCCCATCCCATCCCATCCCATCCCATGCCATCCCATTCCATCCCATCCCATCCCATCCCACCACACCACACCACACCACACCACACCACACCACACCACACCACATCAAAAGAGAAAGTGGAGAGGGCAGCGGACCAGCAGGAGGGCGCTGCAGGAGCGCGCGAGGAGCTTCAGGGAGGGGCGGCTGCTGAAGTAGCCCGACCAGTAGGGCCCACTGTCCTGATACCTGAGGCGAGGGGCGCATGCATGTGAGAGTGGGGGAGGGAAGGGGTTGGGGAGGAAGAGCGGTATGTGAGAAATCTATACAGTGAACGGGTCCTTTGAGACGTAGCCCCACTAGCAGGGGCCACTGCCCTCATACCTGCGGCGAGGGGCGCATGGATGGGCGCAGGGAGTGGGTGGGGGAAGAGGGGGGAGGGGGGCGGTATGTGTGAATTTTACTCGGTCGGGGAATGGGTCCTCTTGTGCAGTAGCCCAGCCAGGCCAAGAGGTGGCAGCACCACCATCATCCGAATAGCTGGACGGGTGGACGGATGAGGGACGGGTGGATTGAGGGTGCAAGGGTGGCTGACCGGTGCATGGATGGGATGGGAGGGGGGGTATGCGAGAAGTCTATGCAGAGAACGGATCCCTCCTGTTCAGTGTGCAATAGCCCGACCAGTAGGAGGAGCTATCATCCCGAAAGCTGGAGCGAGGGGCGAACAGGTAGAGAGGAAGAGAAGAGAGGAGGGGGGTAGAGGGACGTGCTGTGCCGTCCCCGGCATGTCTGGGGTGAAAGGGGCGCTTGGGCAGGGAAGTGCAGAGATTGGGAGAGAGAAGGGTAAGGGCGAGCAGAAAGGATGAGACACATAGGAATTGATTGTGATCTGAATGGATGCAGTGTGGGGTGGGGAGTGCAAGTGGGCATGGATCATGGGTGCGGGAGGGAGGGGATGGTTACTTGCAGGGCTGAACAGACAGTTGCATGCAGAGTGACTCACGGGAACATGTCACCAGTCTTGAGAGGCCACGTGGCACTGGAGGAGTGCAGTGCGTCCAGATACATGGATGGCGTGGAATAGAGCGCGTTCACCCTCCCGTCCTGTAGCACGGTTACACAGTTACACAGTTACAGGGTTACGTACGTATGCAATCTCTGGGAAGGAAAGCATCTGAGGTGCCAAGTTCAAGATTGCCTCCTTGTGCAAAGGAACAAGCACCTACATGCATTCATCATGTATGTACAACCTTTGAGGCGCCTCAAAAATGCATGCATCTCACGTATGTACCCTGCTGATGAATGGCATTGCCCATCTCCTGTTCTGTTTGTGAAACTGCAATTAGAGAAATCCCTCACATAAGAGTGCTTCTTATATTCTCGATCAACGTGCAGCCTGCCATCCCGTCCCATCCCATCCCATCCCATCCCATCCCATCCCATCCCATCCCATCCCATCCCATCCCATCCCATCCCATCCCATCCCATCCCATCCCATCCCATCCCATCCCATCCCATCCCATCCCTCCGTCCAATCCATGCCACCATACCATACCAGCATGCAAACTTGCAAGCACCCAGCTTGTCCATGTTCTTGAAACACGAGATGGCATGCCACGTTATCCCACCCCGTGCCAGCAGCACCCAGCGACCCACCCAGCAGCACCCAGCGAGCGACTGACCAGGTTGACGTAGTGAATGAGCTTGTCCATGTTCTTGAACCACATGATGGCATGCCACGCCATCCCATCCCACGTTACGCCAAGCACCCAGGGACCCACCCGGCACCCAGCAACTGACCAGGTTGACGTATTGAATGAGCTTATCCATGTTCTTGAACCACATTATGGCGCGGTCAAACGCAAAGTCCTCGTCCATGGGGAACAGCAGGTGGTTCGTCTTAAAGCCCTCCGCCTGCTCGAGAGTTTGGGAAAACGTACGTTGCAGAGGAAGCAGCAACGGAGTGAGAGTGAGTGAATGGGTGAGTGAGTGAGGGATCGGTTCAAGGTAAAGTCCTCGCCCGTGGGAAGCAGCAGGTGATTTGCCTTGAAGCCGTCTGCCTGCTCGGGAGTGTGTGTGGGAGACAGTAAGTTGCAGAGGATGCATTAAGTGAAGGATGGCTGGTTCACCGCTAAGTCCTTGCCCATTCGGAACAGCAGGTCTTAAACCCCTGGAGCCCCTTGGGGGGGGTGTGAGACGAGAACTGCGGAGAAAGGCGGTGAGAGGAAGAAGGGGATTTGAGATAGAGGGTTTGGTGGGTGGAAAGACGCTGTGGATGGTACAGGGGTGAGCCAATCACGCACAGAAGGGAACCTTGAAAGACTTGAAGGCCCCATGCAAGTACCAAGAAACGTGAAAAAAACTCGAGGCGCCTAACACTGCGAATGAGAATAAATTGAAAATAAATTGGACAATTCTGGAAATATCATCTTTAGTCACGTCACCTGTATTTCTAGCCATGTGCTTTTCAGCATGTTTGGCACGTACTTATTTCTACTGTGCATGTGTACTTGAAGCACACACAGTCCGAGGTGACTTCTGAGTCGACTCAAAAGTCACTCTGTGCTTTTCAGCACGATTGGCACGGCACATACGTCTACTGTAGTGTGCATGTGTACTTGAAGCACAGCCCGCACAGCCCAAGCGCCACTCACTCACCCTCTTGGTCACTTCGTGACTTTTGAGTCGACTCAGAAGGCACAAGCGCCACCCACTCACCCTCTTGGTCACTTCCGCTACAAACACATCCACGAGGCTCTGCACGTTGGGCGACCCCCCATAGGGCCGACTCCAAAGACATACACTGTGCACAGTGCAGGTATAGTGGAAGAAGGCACAAGCGCCACTCACCCGCTTGGTCACCTCTGTGACAAACTCGTCCACGAGGGACTGCACGTTGGGCGACCCTCCATAGGGATTGTCCTGAGCAGGGTGAAAGGGCGGGGGGAATAGAGAGCAGAGCGGGCATGGAAGAGCAGAGGGCGTGCAAGGTGTACTCTCAGGGTTTTCCTGAACAAGTGGGTGTATTTGAGGCGCCTCAAAATACACCTTTTGAGGCGCGCAAAAATACACAAGTGGGAAACGACGGGCTGAGGGGGCATGGGAGATCAATGGGCGTGCAAGAGAGCAGGGGGGCTGTGGACGTGCGACATGGCAGGAGGGGAGGGGGAGCGTTACGGTTGCACAGTGAAAGCGGGGCGTGCGCTGCCAGGGGCCCCATCGCGCACAGGAACAGAACAGGGATCCATGCAGGTGACTAGCTGAACGACCTATTGGCGAAAGGCATGGTGGCGAAAGGCATGGTGGCGAAAGGCATGGTGGTGCAAGGCATGGTGGTGCAAGGCATGGTGGTGCAAGGCATGGTGGTGCAAGGCATGGTGGTGCAAGGCATGGTGCTGAAAGTCAATGACTGGTTTTGGTGGGCAGAGAGAGGGGCTTGGCTACGGGAGAGGTGCACATGCGGCATGATTGACCACTGTGGTGACGCAGAGGGGCACGTGTGGAGCAGCAGAGGGGCACGTGCAGCAGAGCAGCAGAAGGGTTGAGTACGGAGCAGCAGAGGGGACGACTGAGCACCTGAATGCGGTAGGAGGAACTGTCTGAGTCCTGGTAGCGGAACTGAGGCGGCGAGTAGTAGCCGTCATAGGACACCATTCCCAGCACCTGGTAGGTGGGTTGGGATGAGTGGATAAGTGGAGTGGCAGCAGGAAGGAGAGAACTTGAGAAAAGTCGAGGGCGAGCGACTGGAGAAGACCATTCTCCCAACACCTGGCTGGCATGGGCGGTTGGGAGGAGAGGTTGAACGGCATGGAGTGACAAGGCGTGGAAGGAAAGAGGTAGAGGAAGAGAGAAGTATGGTGAACTTGGTGTAATCAACCTAATCGAAACGCACTTACCTGGCTGTCCTTCCGATCGGACGCCCCATGCTGCGACACTAACTGTAGTGCCTTTTGAGACTCAAAAGTGACCCCAAATTCTCAAAAGAATTCTCAAAAGTCACTAACTGTAGGGCCCACTAAGAATTCTCATTCTTAGTGTGTTTCTCCTGTTCAATCCACGGCAGCACACACCATCACACTCCTGGTTGTCTCCCTGTTGCCCCGTCCCATACCACCTGCCTGCCACACGAACTGCCTTATCCTGGCGATCATCACAGCCTACTTCTCCTGTTTAGACCCCAGCAGCACACACACCCACCCACCCTACCATTCGCGCAGCCTCACGGACCTACCTACCTCTCAGCACCATCACATGCAGCCCACCTTGTTGTCTCTCTGACTTGCCCCCTCGGCATGCCACATACAATCCATTGTTCTCGCAGCCAAGCGATTCGCCCTCTCCTGCTCCCCATGTCCCCCTTTTGCCTCACCCTGCCATTCGCTCAGCTCAGCCTCCTCGCATACCAATACCACACACACACGCACCTGGTTGTCCCTCTGCCTTTTGAGTCGACTCAAAACTCTCCTCGCATACCACACACACACACACACACACACACACGCGCGCGCGCGTGCGCGCACGCACCTGGTTGTCCCTGTGCCGTGCCCCCTCGGCGCGCCACATGAACTCCATTGTTTTGGCAGCCAAGCGAGTCTCCTTCTCCTGCTGGTCCACCCTCCCCATGAACACCGCTTCTAGCCCCGCCTGGTGCAGAGAGAGATGCGAGTGGGGAAAGGGTGTGGTGGGGGAGGGTGGAGGGGAGTGGGGGGGAGGGGGTTGTGGAGGAAACGGGATGGGGGAGGGAAAGGGGACAGGGGGTGGAATGGGCGGGGAACCATGCAGGCGTCCTTTTCCTGTCTGCCCACCCGCTTCTAGCCATGCCTGGTGGAGAGATGTCTATGGGAAAAGGGTAAGGGATGGGGCGATAAGATGGGATGGGGAAGGGAAAGGGGTCAGGGAGTGGAGTGGAGGTCAGAAATGTCTCCTTCTCCTGTCTGTTCACCCTTCCCCATGAACTTCGCGTCCAGCCCCATTTGATGGAGATGCACAGCGAGGGGGGCGATAAGGGGAGGAGAGAACGGGATAAGGGGAGGTGGAGGAATGGACGAAGAACAAGAGGGGTGAAGGAGTGGGCGGGGTAAAGAAAGGAATCCAGTAAATTATGGTGGTGGACTTCACATGCATTGAAGCCAGCACACCAAAGGTAAAGCATGACGAACAGCTCTACCTCACCAGTCAGTGTCATTGCCACCCGCACCAGTCACTCGACTGCCACCCCTGCTTTCCTCCTGGCGCACCTGGGCGGTGATGAGGCTGGCTTGCGTGGCGGAGTGGCCGAAGGGGTCGATCTGCCAGGCGATGCGCGGGGTGACGTTGAATGTTGCCATGAGGAAGCGGTGCCCCATGGCCATCTGATGCACCATGTCCGTGTACTGTGCACACGCCTCGTCATGCATCACCCACCCACCGTTGCTGCACAGCATGGCATAGCACATGGAAGAAAGTTAGAAAATATGTGTACAGGAGATGAGGGAGGGAGGGAGGGAGGGAGGGAGGGAGGGAGGGAGGGAGGGAGGGAGGGAGGGAGGGAGGGAGGGAGGGAGGGAGGGAGGGAGGGAGGGAGGGAGGGAGGGAGGGATGGAGGGAGGGAGGGAGGGAGGGAGGGAGGGAGGGAGGAAGGGAGGGAGGGAGGGAGGGAGGGAGGGAGGGAGGGAGGGAGGGAGGGGGGGGGAGGGGGAAGGGAGGTACAGAGGGGGTAGGTGAACGGACTGGGCATTGGGGCGGGCGGGGGGGATGGCATGTCAAATGAGGGTTCTTCAACATCCAGTGTGCACCATGTCCAAAACGCCTGTCATGCGTGACATTACCTTTGCGACATGCTATGGGAGTAAGGGAATCATGCAAAACTTGGAATCGATGAATGCATGCCTACTACGGTAGTGAGAACTTGGAAAGCCTAATTAGTGTTACTAAATTCGTATCCGCTCCTGTCACATGAGAATACACTGCCTTCGCTGCATCCGCCTTACATCGAGGCACGTGCTGACTCACATAAACTCCAATTGGCCAGAAGCCACCAGCTTCCGTACTTTTGCCCGCATTGGTTCGTGCTGGCGCTCCCACCAACGATAGAAGAAACCCTGCGAACATATTGGTAAGTGGGAAGAAAAATAGCCTTGACACTTTTTTTTTTACATTGAAAATTATGCAGTGGCGGTACAGAACACTTGGTACCATGCAATCATTAGGCATTGGAACCCTAAATTCTAAATCCTGCCATCTGTTAGGGCCGGAGGATGCCTCACCTGCTCGACCTGAATGAACTTGCGGTCAGGATTGTCCGAGAGCTGGTCGACGACGGTCTCGAAGATGTACTGTACCGTGTCGACCTGCAGTGATGCACAACGGAATAGAAACAGGGTGTGAATGCAGGTTAGTAGGCTTCCGAAGACTTTTGTTCTTCGTCGCTTGTCAGCGTGAAATGACCACATGTACCCACGTCATACGAACCACGACAATGAATTCACGTCGCGAACAACCTATGCCGAATCTCGAGGACCGATGTTCCGCCAGAAACAGGGTTTCGAATCTCTGAACGATTTTCTTTCGGAAGCGCAGCCTGTGGAGGCGTGTCAAGATCCATCGCGAAATCCTTGGACACCCTCTTTGACAAGTTCGGGGAGCAATGCGGTGGCAGCGAGGACACCAGACGAGTTCAAGCTGCAGTGAGGACTCCTGACAGAGAGTACCGCAGAATCCGATTCTGCAATCTCCCAAGCTCTGGCATTTTTCGGAGTCCGTACTCACGTAATACTGATCAATGGTTTTCAGCCAACCGAGATCGTCGTGCGAGTGAGCCACCAAGTGCACGTTCAGCTTTCCGTCCACAACTGCAGGGCTCGTGTTGTAACGAAACGGTACGAGCTCCTCAAACGAGGATAGAGCTTCACTGCGAACTGGCGCGATCGGCGTCTGCTCATTCTGAACCGGCGTTGCTGTTTCTATCCCGTCAAAGGATATCGGAATGAGTGTAGACAGTGACTGCTGCAGCATCAGCAAAGTGAAGCCCGTCAAGACGCCTATAACGAACGGCGGCACGAGCACTGCGGCTCGATTCGACGTCATGACTGGCTCCGCGGTCACCTTTGGTACTACAAGAGGCGTGGTGAAGATAATTACTAGCGGAAAGAAGCGGCTTCGGCGGATTCAATGGAAGGGGAACACTATCGCCATACTAAAAGTTCCTGAATGGATGTAGCTTTGGCCGCGCTGCCTCACTGAAAACACTACGCAATGAGCGGATCACAGCTGTTCATTTAGAATCAGGGTGCATGTTGAGGGTTGCGAGGGGTTGGAAGTGGTGAAGCTTAAGAACCGCCCGAGATTGCACAGAAACGTACAGTACCACTTCGATGAGCAAGAAAAGTGATTTCAGGTGGTGACCCGCTACCCTGTGATCGTATGGTGGAGGTTGAAGGTTGCTTGTAAGGAAAGTGACTTTGGAGCGCTGCTTTGACAGAGCTGATGTTGAGTTTGCCGAGGCAACGACCGTATTTAAAACCTCTGTATCGAACAGAACCACCTGAAAACCATTCCACAGGGTACTGAACGTGCGCTCCGGGTCCCAGGGATGTGGATATGTGTCAGAACTGTCACCAATCACATCGGCGCGGCGAAGGCCACACCCGCTCTTTTTGAACTCGTTCGGGGTCTGGTGGTGCATCCCACCCTGTCAATGGGGGCAGGCAGTTGACTTCGATTTCAGATGCAAGTATTGAGGCTGGTGAGAAGCAAGAATTCCATTCAGTTGCTTTTGATTTCAGAACGGTGAAGCAAGAGTACCGTTCTGCAGCGCACATCGTCGTTTTCAACCGCGGCCTACCTTGCTTGAAAGTTTACTCTCGCGGCCTACCTTGATTGACCCCGCAGGACACTTGTGAGAAAACCCGACCGCGGCGACCCAGCTCACATCCTTTTAGTTGGCACGGCTGGAAAACAACTCAGCAGCAGAAAGTGTGGGATTCTGAGCCCAGCTCTCTACGACACAAGCCAATGCATCGTTCTCACCTACTATCATCCCAGCAAGGAGCTGTCCTAGACAGTCCACGTACTCGTTTCTTACAGCACAAGCCAATGCATCTACCTTGATTTTCTTAGGATTGCGTTCTTAATCTGGAGTCGCTGCTTGGTGCATTTCGTAGTTTGCTATGATCTCCTCGCGTGAGCTCGCGCTTCCAGCGAAGCTATACCGGCGTTCTCTTCCACCTGCGTCTCGCACCCATCGTCGAGTGACGTCACTCTCCCGTCGTAAACATGTCGCCGCCCTTTATCTCTACTACCACTAGTAGTAGTAAGCAGAAAATAATTATCGCCTTTTTTCTCTTCGCCTTCCTACTCATCGCAGCATCCACTAATTTCTTCACCAGTAGTAACTCACACAGCTACGACCTCCCCATCCCCGTCAAGATCTACGGTCCAGATGAAGCCGTCCTCCTCTTTCTGAAATCCCATTGGACCGGCTTTCAGTACGCTGACTCCTGGATCGAAGGCACCAACTGCTCCACGTGGCACGGCGTCTCCTGCGACTCGACCTCCGGCGCCGTCACAGACCTCGATCTCACCAGCACGTCGCTCAACGGCACGATCCCGCCTGCGATCGGGAATCTAACGACTCTCACGAGCCTGATGTTCAGGGGGAACACGCTCACGGGGACTCTTCCGTCGTCCATCGGTCTGCTAACCCGCCTGCAGTTTCTGTTCATTTCCGACAACGGTCCCGGCTTGCGCGGGAGCATTCCGGCCGCACTCTCGCGTTTGTCGAACCTCAACTATTTGGATCTGCCGCGAAACCGTTTCTCGGGTCCCATCCCCGAGTTTATCCCCGGCGGAACGATGAAGAAACTGATCTCCTTGGATCTCTCCGCGAATCGCCTCACGGGAAGCATACCGGGGGGGATGCTCAGCGGCCTTTCAGGTCTGAAAGACCTTAGGATTGCCGACAACCGGCTGACTGGTAGCGTTCCGACGGAGATCGGCAAGCTGACGGCGCTGAAGGTCCTGTTGATCGACAAGAACCGGTTGGAAGGGCCGCTGCCGTCAAGTCTGACGGCGTGTACTGGTCTGAGGTTGCTGGCGGCTGGAGATAACCGTTTGGGGGGCCTGCTTCCTGTGAACACTCTGTTGCAACTCACGCAACTGGAAGACCTTTTTCTGAATCGCAACGGCTTTGTTGTTACTTCGCTGGCCTCTCTCGTGCTCCACCCGACGCTGAGAAACGTCGAGCTGAGCCAAAACAAGGTCGCTCCGCGAATCCTCGCGACCGTTGGGCGTATGAAAAGCATCGAGTTCCTGAATCTGTCGAGAAACGGGCTGACCGGATCTGTTCCCGCGTCTCTTCTAGCCTACCAGCCGAAGCTGCGTGCACTCGACCTGTCGTTCAACAGGCTCTCGGGAAGCTTCCCTTGGACTGCGGTGCTAGGCGCACCAGAGTTATTGTGGTTGCACATCCAGAGCAACATGCTTTCCGGCAGAATTCCAGAGAATCCGTTCAAGGGGCTCTCCATTTATAATCTCAACATGTCGAACAATTTCTTCGGGGGACGTTTGCCCAATTTCGGTTGGCCAGGCCCGGATCACAATCTAGACGCGAGTAACAATTTCTTCTCGGGCAGACCAGAGTTCTGGTCGTGGGGAAAACGAGTATGCCCGATCGAAGTGCGGACAGAGAAGCCTGACGATGACTACTACGAATCTGCGCACCTCAATGTGTCTCGCAACTGCCTTTCGCCTGTGCCTGGTTGCAACGTTACACCGCAACGCAGGCCCGCTTTGTGCGCGGCATTCTGCGGTGCGAGTGGCAAGTTGGGAGCATGCGGAGGGCATGGCACGTGCCGGCCTACAGCAGGGGGTGGGAAGTTCAGGTGGCAGTTTTCCTGCGTGTGCGACAAGGGTTACTCATTGAAGCCGGGGAACACGTTCGTGTGTGAGCGCACAGCAGCAGCTATGGCTGAAGTACCTGAAGCCTAGGTGTCATAGGATGCAGCACTCGAGAGAAGGCGGAGGGGAGGGGGGAGAATTGGAAGAGGATCGTTAATGTGCTCTGGCTACATTCTTGGTTTCGCTGCTGGCTGGCTCCAAACCCCACCTCGCCTCCACTCCACTCTTCCTATCCTCTCTCCCTCCTCCACCTGTTCGGTGCTTGTCGTTGGTAACCGCAGCGTGTAACTGCATGCGTGCGAATCTCAAGGCTGCAGTCTTGGTGCATTAGGCTAAATTCTTGCAGGCCACTTTTGCCTTGCAGCACCCAGCACGCACATGCTGCTGCTCCTACTGCTGTGCATGGTTCGGTTACTGTTCATGGTTTGGTTACTGCTCATGCTCTTGTTACTGTTCATGCATCGGTTACTGTTCATTCCCCTGTTGCTATTCATGCCCCGGTTAGTGTTCATGTTCCTGTCACTAGAAGCAGGAGCAGCAGCAGCAGTAGGCACAGCAGTCGGAGCAGCATCAGTGGAAGCGGCATAAGTGGGGTATTTAGTACAGGTAGGGTGTGGTGTGTACATGACCCATTAGAATGCCTCTTTGCTGTTGACTCGCTACAAGCAGATCGTGCTCATGCGGAAATGGGAGAGGGGAGGATAAGGAGAGGCAGAGATGGGATGGGTGAGTAGGTTCAGGTGCTGGGGGCTGAGGAAAGGGGGGCGGAGTGTGGGAGGGAGAGTTGGAGGGAGTGTGTGAGGGATTATGGGACGGAGTGCGGTGGAAGAAACGAAAGTGGCTTCGGTGCGAGTGAGATGGAGGAGATGGGGTAGGAGATAGGGGGAGCAATGGGGGGACGAATGGGACTTGGGCAGTTGAGGCGAAAAAAAAAAAAAAAAAAAAAAAAAAAAAAAGCGGAGAACGGGGAAGGAGGAGGAAACAGAAAAGAAAGCGGAGAACGGGGAAGGAGAGGAGAGGGAGGAGGAGGAGGAAGAGGAGGGGGGGGGGGGGGGAGGAGGAGGAGGAGGAGGAGGAGGAGGAGGAGGAGGAGGAGGAGGAGGGGGGGGAACCCAATCGGGTGCTTCTATTTGCTGCAGGTCAGTTCGCAGCTGCCTCCGCCTGTGCTACACGTGCTTGCAGTCACGGCCCTAACCTGCCTTCTACGGTTCCCTTCCTGCTATTTGATACTGACTTGAGTAACCCTAGAAAATCCAGGTTACCATCAGCTACTGCAGGATCTAAAGCTGCTGCTGGTGGCAAAGCAGCTGTGCAGAGTGCTGCCACTTTAGCAGCTGGTTATTTTTGCAGTGAGCGGAGTGGTTAGTGCAGGTAGCGAGGCGACTCTTGAAGCGTACAGGAGGGAAGGGAGCACTAGGCCTGATGCTGAATCGGTGATAAACCCGAAACCCGAGGGTTTGACGACCCTCAGGAGCGATGCTCTATGCTGCTGGTTTGAGTCGAAGACCGTTTGGGCAGTGGGAAATCCGGTGCTTGCTGTTTGTTTGCTTGCTTGCACCTGGCTGCTGCCGCAGGACCATGCGTGGTGCTGTGCTGCTGCGGCATGGGAAACGCGCAAAACGAGGAGGAATCGAGGGGGAAGAGGAAGATCCGGAGAAGCAGCAGAAGCAAGGATATCGAAAACTGATAGGCACACTGAAACTCTGGATGCGATCGAGTCGCAGCATGCGGTATCACACCAGCAGTCTCTTGCTGCCGCTGCCATTTTCAGTGCTGTCACGCCTGACAAGGATTTCAGGCACACCCCTTTGTTGACCTGGGGGCGCTCATGTGGGTAAGGGAGCTGCTCTCACCATCTTTGCTGTCCAGGCTCTGCCATGGAGTGAGTTACCCATCCCATGGAGGTGAGTCACCCATCCCAACGAGGTGAAGTCACCCATCCCATGGAGGTGAAGTCACCCATCCCATGGAGGTGAAGTCACCCATCCCAATGAGGTGAAGTCACCCATCCCATGGAGGTGAGTCACCCATCCCAACGAGGTGAAGTCACCCATCCCATGGAGGTGAGTCACCCATCCCAACGAGGTGAAGTCACCCATCCCATGGAGGTGAGTCGCCCATCCCAACGAAGTGAAGTCACCCATCCCATGGAGGTGAAGTCACCCATCCCAACGAGGTGAAGTCACCCA